CTTATGTCCCATAAATGGCCATTATAGTGTCCCATGTTTTAGTCGGTAATATCCTTCTGCCTACACCCTAATCGCCTTAAGGTAAAGGCTCAAGTGTAAGCTCTAATGGCAACATGGATGGCCGAGTGTACGCGTATCTGCTATACATATATTTATTTACTCAGGCATGTCTGAACACCGGTTCAATTGCCTTATGGAGTAAACATTCTCCACGAGCTGGCTAGGCATCCCGAAACGGGTGACCACCTGCCAGGTATTAGATATTGTGCTGTGCATTCCGCAATGATAAAGCCTATCATAATATTCCACAGCGAGCTCTATGAACCCGGTGGAATTGTCTTTAGTGAACTAAGTACGAAGCATAACCGTCCCGGTGCCCCACTCACTTCGCTAAAGTCAGTTAAGAGAGACTGTCGACGCGTAAAAGTTCAGACTGGTCAGCTTTGATCCAGATTACCTGTACTCAAGTACATTGCTTTCCATAGGTACATGCAAAAACGTTCAGGCCAGAAGCGGCCTCCAAATTGGATCATAATTCACGTCTGTTCACCTAGTTCAGCCTCGTCAGGTATATCACATTCCTCATGGCGTCGTACCTGCCCTTTTCGGATCAGGGAAATGATTTTAATAGGAAAAATTCTACGTGAATAGGCGAAACATTTTGCCATTCATCCATGTCATTTTGCACACTCTTTACAGGTTTCTCATGTGCACTCCTGACGCTCTAATTCTAGATGCATATTGTCGGCTACTCGTCCATATATGACAACGCAGCGCAGGCAAAACACTCTCCCGCGGGTCTGACTGTTATTGGCGTCTTTTTCAAAATGACGAATAAGCCGGCTGGATCAAGCCTTTTAAAAATGGGCAACCTCTTATCTGCAATCGACAGTCTCACTAACGCTAGATCGACAGCTAACGTGAGCTACTTCGATCCCAAGGTCCTTTTGCCTGAAAACAAAGAATTCTTCCGTTACCAGGGTTCTCTTACCACACCACCATGCACAGAGAATGTTCAGTGGACGATGATGAGACATGCTCTGCATGTAAACGAGGCAGATGTAAGTTTAAATTTTGTCATCTTTCCGGGTATGGGTACGTCTTGTTGCAGCTAAAAGTAAAATTATGATAAAAAGGCTGTAAACAGCAAAGTGCATTGGATCAATTTAATCTCGAGAGTGCTCATCAGTTGCTTTCTCTCGTTGCATAATTTGAATAACGTAGGATAAAATACAAATTTGAATTCATACAGAAAATTCAATACAAACAGCAAGGTCATAATGAATAGCCAAGAGGCTAATCCATAGCATAAGACAGCGAGAACGCTGTGGTTAGCAAAAAGGGAGAAAAGCGTGTACGGCAAAATGGGTTGAGTAGGAAAATGTGTACATAGGTTTGGTTTAAAACACCGTATGTAGGCCGCCTGCAGGTAGCGTACGTATATGTTGTTCTTGCCCGAGGAAGTGCTCGTAAAAAAATTTTTGGGGTCCACAAAATGGGAACTCAGCCGATCGGCATGCGAAGGGCAGCTCAGTCAAACCCGGACAGACTTTATTCCTCGTTCCTTGCAATATATGTCGGGGTTGCTTCTTGTTGCCAGCTTAACCTTCTCCTGATGGACTACAAAAATCTTTGTAGTATAAAGTGAATAAAACCTCTCTTTCAAGCGCGGAGACAGTAATCTGCCTCATTAGTTAATCGTACACTACGGCGCAGAATTCGTGCAAAATGCCAACATTTATGGAAAATTAATACTGACTCGCTAGTCGAAATTGGGTAATTTTGTCATACTGATCATATTGTAGTCATTTCTCAAGTCATTTCAGTCATGATAAGATGCCGGCTTTTTAACGAGCTTCTTTCTAACGCTTAACTAAAGCATGCACTGTAAAAGATGACTATTTACATTGTATGCATTTTTCACCATGGATTTTGACTGCGCTTATGAGTGCAAATGTATTTTGTAGAAAACAATGAATTTAAAATTATTTATTGTACTGGTTTGGCGGCAAATTAGGCCTTATTTAAATCATGTACTCAACAATAGTGTATGTGTCAGTTGTAGGAAAATTATTTGGCAACTTCTTTGAATTTATAAAGGCAAACGCAGTGCAAATTAGCTTTATTTATCGTTTGACTGGTTTATATCGAAGGATAGAAAGCTTACGCGTAAGCTGTACTCAACTGATGGTGGAGAGAATCGGTGAAGTGCACCCGTGCTAATTTACTAAGGAATGGAATTCTATTTTCTCGGCGTTTCTGTCCTAGCGTCTGCGTTCACACGTCTAGGAACGGCCGATATCGTGTCTATTTTGCGCGTTTGCCTTCATCCGGTTCCGTGCCCCAGCCCCCAATCAGTACTTGTTTTCCCGGCTACCGTATTTAGTCACTGTATTCCTTTTGTTATAGCTGAAGAAGTTGCGATCTCTGCGTTTTGGTGATAGCGATGGCGGCAAACCGATGCAGGATAACTTTCGCCCAGTGCAGCCGCTGACTGCCGAACAGGCTCCCCAACCGCGGGTGTTGTATAAGTCCTGGTCTTCGGCCTCAACTGCTCTTGCAGCTGGGCTCTGCATGGTCATACTAGGCATCACCTTCAGCACGCTTTCAAATTGAAAAAACGCGTCTTTATCAAACGTTTTTTGTTGCTTCCTCCTGAAAATTGAGTTGTGCATTTTTTTCATCTAAAAAAACAATAAAGAATGCAAGCAAGCGCTTTCCATAAAGCAGGCTGCTGTTGAGAGACCCCATCATAAGGTGCATGCTCGGATGCTATTTTCTTGTCAAATTTGTTAATTGTAGTGGGTATATGCTTGATTTTGAAAGCATGTTTTTTTCTTCTTGACAATCTATTGTTTTGGTCAGAGGCTCCTAAGTACTTTATGGTGTTTAGGCAAGTAAACACTTTGTTCTCTTACGCGTATTTAGATACAAGGAGGTCTGGATTTCGTAAAAATATGAAATACAAGTACTTACGTGGTATAACAGTCATGCATACCGGCCTAGAATGTTCAGTGCAATTTCCTTCTAGCTACATAACGACGATGCCACGCAGTCGGCCAGAATAAAGAATGAATAATGATGACCTAAAAGTAATGGTCGACACGTCTCTACTTTAGACAGCCCACGAAATATAATGGGTGTATTGCGATAGATACCAAAAACATAGATAGATACCAACAACATTATTATCCCAAATTTAGACATGAAAAGAATAAGAAGAAGAAATGCTAACGTGAGGATTCATATATACCCTAATCTCTCCTTTGTAAAATTAAGCGATTTTCCATCGATTCCTTAAGTATGATGAGGAGTTGATTCCGACAATGTCTCAAATCGCTCACAACAAAGGCTGGACGAATTAAAGTCCTTTAAGCACAGGTCTGTACACAGTGTGTACCAACAGGGATTGATCGTGAGCGTCTGTTAGTCTGGCGCAACTTTAATCCAAAGGGAAATGAACAGGCGAAACCCTGGGAGTAATCGAGAAGAAGACGATTCGACCGCTGGGACAAAACATTTGTTCTGCTGACGCTTCGAAATCTTTTGCGGATTTTCCATCAGAGACATGAACAGGTAATAGTAGCAGAAGCTGGTGCTTCATGCACAGGAAGTGACAGTATTTACAAGACACCGTCATTGCTACACACGTATGCCAACTAACGACAATTATAACGATAATTGCCCTCGTTTTCATGGATTAGTTGATGAAGAGCATGTGGGCAGTGACCTGCTGAACTTGCATCACGTATGGTGCAGTGGGATGTGCTGATTGGTCGACCATCCGGTTACCTGTTGTTGGCGTAGGACGACGTAGTGGCC